TCATTGGTATCAGTGGCAGGAATGGTGCCCCATCATTGGTATCAGTGGGAGGAATAGTGCCCCATCATTGGTATCAGTGGGGGGAATAGGTGCCCCATCATTGGTATCAGTGGCAGGAATGGTGCCCCATCATTGGTATCAGTGGCAGGAATAGTGCCCCATCATTGGTGTCAGTGGGAGGAATAGTGCCCCATCATTGATGTCAGTGGGAGGAATGGTGTCCCATCATTGGTGTCAGTGAGGGGTGGAATAGTGCCCCATCATTGGTGTCAGTGGGGGGTGGAATAGTGCCCCATCGTTGGTGTCAGTGGGGGGGGGGAATAGTGCCCCATCATTGGTGTCAGTGGGGGGGAGGAATAGTGCCCCATCGTTGGTGTCAGTGGGAGGAATAGTGCCCCATCATTGGTATCAGTGACACCAATGATGGGGCACTATTCCTCCCACTGAGACTTGCTGACCCTGTTCTCGTATGGTGCTGCTGCAGCCAGCATATGTGGTTGCAGCAGCACCTCTACACAGAACACTTACCTGCTGCTCCGGCACTCAATTTTCGTGGGGCCGCTCGGCTCCGCCCCCTCGCCGGTGATTGGCCGCCTGTGTGCCTTTCCTGAGCTACAGTTCTGGCGGCCAATCACCGGTGAGGAGGCGGAGCCGAGCAGCCGCACAAACATCCAGTGGCCGAACTGAAGGAGACGCCGCGCTTCCTGGACCGGATCGTCGTGGGACTGGATCCAGGTAAGAGACATCAGCCCCTGCAAACCCCTGTACTTAATGCCGCAGCCCCCCTAAACATGTGTACCGGCGTATAAGACGACCCCCAACTTTTGAGAAGATTTTCAAGGGTCAAAAAGTCGTCTTATACGCCGGCAAATACGGTAGCAAATAAATAATCTTTCTTCATAAATCTTGGCCAAAATGTATTCAGCTATCTTTTTAGTAAACAAAAATAACCCAAATTAGTTTATAACCAAAAATTATAATTTTTCTAAATTTTTTTCTAATTTTTATTTTATTTTTGTATATTATTATTTATGTTTTTTAACATACTGTCACCCTACCAGTACAGTGTCACCATAGTGGCACTGTACTACTTGTGGGGGGTGATGAAGATTTTTTTTTTTTTTTTTACACTGATTGCTTTTACACTTATAAAGACTGTAAAAGCAATCATTTCTTCTTCTCTCTGGCTGCATTCTTGCAGCCATTCAGAAATACTGTGTGAGCTGTGATTGGTCACAGCTTGTCACGTGGTACAAGGCTATTGTGAATAGCCTTGTACCATGTGACCTCTGTGATCATTCACAGATTTCACTAGTAGTAAGCAATAATGTCAAAAGTGACATCTTGTTTACTACTATTCATGTGATCACTGATTGGCCAATCAGTGATCACACATACAGCGATCGAGAGTGCGCACAGGCTAAGAATGCGGGCGCCGTTTATGAACGGCAACCCGCTCCTGCACTTCTCCCATCCGGCCGTTTATATACATGGGCCGGACAGAAAGTGGTTAAAGCAGAACTAAAGGTATTAACCCTTTCACTGCCAGAGCCGTTTTTGCATATTTTTTTTTTTTGCACACATGTTTAAAAAATCATTTTAGGCCTGTAGATTACACAAAACCCCCAAAACATGATATATTTTCTGAAAGCAGTAGTGGTATTTCCAATTTTTTATGTCACAGGACATACCACAAAGGTTTAGGAAATGCAAAGTTTCAGTAAAAAAACACACTAAAGTGAACTTTAGGGCAAACAAACGTAATAAATTACCCACATTTTTGGTAAAATATAAAGACAAGGTTGCACCCAGAAAATAGATACCCAACATGCCAAACCTTACATTTGTGTGTGCCAATGAAATGGCGACAAACTTCAGTACCTTATATTTTCTATAGGCGATGCTTCAAAAACCTCTATAGGACATCAGTTGGGCATTATGGATGAGGTTCTGTGCTTGAATTATTGCTCTCACTTCGGCCTGCGCTGCGATATGTTACGTTTCTCGCAATCGGTGTTTTGACGCATAGGCACACTGACTTGTGTATTTATATTCGTACATGCATATACGGGGAGTGGGGGGGGCCTCAACATTTTTTTTTGATGTGGGGATGTTATGTGCTTGAGTGTGACGTGATTTTTTTTGCAATAAAATGTTTTTTTTCAAATCACATAGGGGACACAAAGTCTCCTATGTGATGATTTCTACATGACAGGTTCTCTTTATTGAGACATACATGTCTCCTCTGGGCTCCACTCAATGTATATCAAGGCAGACCGCATTGCAATACATTGATTCTCAGCTGTGCTAGCCGAGAAAGTGACAGCCGTGTCCCAGAAGTGCTGTCACACATCTCACCTTTCGGGTCACAGAAAGAAGGCACCCACCATAGCGCTCCCTTGGGCAAGCAGGGTCAGGATACATGACAGAGGGGCAGTCCAGGGGGCTGTGAAAGCGATTGGGTGGCAATGTAGCCACCCGATTGCTTCCACCTGACAGGCAGGAGTCTGCCTGTCAGTTTTATAACCGTGTATAAAACCCTCCGCTGTTAGATCCGTATGACGTACAGACCTGACAGTGAAAGGGTTAATACTTACCTGGCACATGGTCCCTTGCTGGCACCGGCATCTTCTTCTGAGTGCTGGTGTTCAGGCCTCTTCGTTGGTTGGCATGCACAGGAGAAGGAATGGGGCGATATGTGCTAGGAGTAAGAGGGAGGTTTGGGGGGAAGAGGGGGTTGTGCTAAAAAGGGGGGGGGTTAGGTAAGGTGGGAGAATGGTATGCTGGGAAGGGTAATTTGGAGGGGTTTTATCTAGAGGAGGGATTTGGGGGAATTTGTCCTAGGTGGGGGTGGAGTTTAAAGGAAGAGGATTGATGCTGGGAGAAGAGATGGGGGGGGGGTTGTACTAGGAGGAGGATTAGGGGAGATTTGTGCTAGGAAAGGGGATTGGAGGGAATTTGTGCTAATAGAGGGGATGGGGGGGGGGGGGGGGCGTGATTTGTGCTAGGAGAGGAGGATTGAGGAAGGGTTGTGCTAGGAGGGGGGATTTGTGCTAGGAGAATTTGGGTGAGGCGGAAGAATTTGTGCTAGGAAGGTAATTTGGAGGGGGTTGTGCTAGGAAGAGGGATTTAGGAGGATTTGTGCTAGGAGGTGGGATTGGGGGTATTTATGCTAGGAGGGGGGATTTGGGGGAGATGATTTGTGCTAGGGTGGAGGAAAGAGGATGAGTGCTAGGAGGGTTGAAGTAGAACTACAGGTAAAGTTTTATTGGGGGGCGCATGTGGCTGGTCTTGCCTAGGGCGCAGAACAGTCTAGCACTTGCCCTGGTCATATCTCTCTATAGTGTGTACTTGCCTTAATCCAAAGCACCTAGTATGATTTCTGTCTACTCTCTGCATGAGTCTCTTCTGACAGTCTATGCCAGCACCAGACAACCCAAGGAGATGGCTCCACCGCCCAGTATGCAGCAGGTGATTGACAGCTTCAGCTGTGCACGTTTCCCTATAGGACTGTGTAGAAGGCTGTGTGCCCCTTTCTGTCCACTAAGGTCTCAGATTACAATCAGCTCCCTGCTCTATGCTATAAAGTGTGATATATCAGATCCCCACCCCCTTCCGGAGCTAAGTATGCAGTGTAAAATGTGTGATTTAGGGGTCTGTAGAGAAGAGAAGACTGCAGATAAACAGGTACAACTTGTGTAGGAGGATTTGTTTCATCTCTGTGTATCACCTGAGGCCAGTCACTTCACTGGGTATATGTAAGGGTTTTACAGTCACTTTAAGTAATAGTTTATCTACTTTGATTGCAAGCTCTTGTGCTACCACTGGCTTCTCCAGTATTCCATGACTGTGTCAAGGTACTGTTTAGACTGTAGTGCTAAACTCTGACATAGAAAAGAACAAACAGAGATGGCAGATAATAGCATTTCCAGAAGCCCAGAGCTACATAGCAAAATGATTTCCCACACTGATCAGACAGGACAATTTCTTGGTCCTGTATCCCTCTGCCTCTTCGTATTACTGTTATTTGCTTCCTTCTCGCTTTTCCTGCATCCTTTTCTTTATAATTAAAGGTGAATTATCCATGCCAATAGGCAAGTACACAAATGCGAGCTACCTTTAATTTTCCCTGACAGTTGGCGTGCCATTCAACAGCCTGTGCAAAGTCGGCTCTCCCCTCCAAATAGGTTTTTAGACCCTTTTGTAACTTTTTTTTTTTTCTGCTATTGTAGAAATGAATGGCAGACTGATTATGGTGTGGATCAAATGCCTATTCATAGAGCACGAAGAAAGTGCGCTTGTAGCCTTGCAGGCTCCTTTGACATAAAATCCTTACATTCTGTTCTGTGCATTAGACCTGGCTAATAAAAGGGCACAAAGAACAATTAAAGTTTCATTTGTCTTGTTTGTATATAAAAGTTTTAGACAAATTGGTCACATGCAGGTGGCCTTCCAAGACTCTAGGTAGTAGAAGATCCTATGGGCCTGTGCCTAGAGCTGCCTTTCTCAACTAGGGTGCCCAGGCACCCTGGGGTGCCTTGAAGATTCTTCAGGGGTGCCTTGGCAAAATGTCTAAGAACTGTCCAAAACTTGTATAAAAGCCAGTCGGTGGAACATGTCTGCCTTTTAGTTATACAAAGTCACAGGTTTTCATTGTGCACCATTACGACCTTCTAGCTGCCTGCATCCTGACAACCAATGACATCATCAGTTGATAAGGAGGCTGTCAACTGCCTGCACATCATCCTTTTTTGACCCTCCCCTGCCCCTCTCCATCAGTGCTGGGGTCACATTAGCTCAGTGATGGGGAAAAACTGAGGGAGAAGAGAAACATTGGAATACTGGTCAATACCAAGGGTGCAAAAGTGTATTTGCTTTGGAAGAATAAATCACCTCTAATGTTGGGTGCCCTACAGTACATGTGTGGATGTTGCTGCATTATATAAAACTATTAGAATAGTTTTTCACATTTTAGAATGGGGTGCCTCAGCACTGTCCATATTAAAGGGTGCCTCAAAACTGTCCATAATATTAAAGGGTGCTTCGGGACTGTCCATAATTTTAAAGGTTGTCTCAGGACTGTCCATAATTTTAAAGGGTGCCTCAAGACTGCCCATAATTTTAAAGGGTGCCTCAAGACTGTCCATAATTTAAAGGTGCCTCAAGACTGTCCATAATTTTAAAGGGTGCCTCAAGACTGTCCATAATTTAAAGGTGGCTCAAGACTGTCCATAATTTTAAAGGGTGCCTCAAGACTGTCCATAATTTTAAAGGGTGCCTCAAGACTGTCCATAATTTAAAGGTGCCTCAAGACTGTCCATAATTTTAAAGGGTGCCTCAAGACTGCCCATCATTTTAAAGGGTGTCTCAGGACTGTCCATAATTTTAAAGGTGCCTCAAGACTGTCCATAATTTTAAAGGGTGCCTCAAGACTGCCCATAATTTTAAAGGGTGCCTCGGGACTGTCCATAATCTTAAAGGGTGCCTCGGGACTGGGTCCATAATTTTAAAGGGTGCCTCGGGACTGTCCATAATTTTAAAGGGTGCCTTGACTGAAAAGAGGTTAAGGAACACTGGTGTAGAGCAACAAGGTAAGATGGGACAACACCAGATCATAACTAGTGATGGGGGAATCCCAGCAAAAACATGCAGCTGGTTATTTAGGCCTCATGTACATTGTTGCCCCTAAATGTGAGTTTTTGGAGGTTTTAGCATTTTTTTCTGAAAGCCCCTGAACTTGGCTCAATAAAAGTCTATGTTTCCATACACACATAGGCTTTTATCAGAGTTTAGGAGCAGATTTTAGGGGCAGTTAAGTGTTCATCTTGAGCGCAGAAGATTTGTATTTAGGAGAGGAATGTTTTCGCCAAAAAAAAATGCCAAAAGCAGCAAAAATGCATCTAAACGCTAGCTATGTTTAGCGCTTGGATGTTTATTCATGTCAATGGAAAATACTGTGGCCAATCAAATGAATAAACGTCCAAGCGCTAAATGTGGGTTTTCGCTGTACCGCGTTTACACACATTTTTGCAGCGTGTAGCTTAATGTCTAGGGGAGTTCATGTGTATATGAGGCCTTAGGCTGCCATTGGCCCTGCTTGGTGTTGTGAGCCAGTAAGCTGGGCTTACCCTTTTTAACCACTTCCCAACCACGCTATAGCCGAACGACTGCTACAGCGTGTTTTTCCAGTTCTGGGAGGGCATCCAGCAGAGTCCCTCCTTACATCAGAGTCCCCCCCGCACATAGGGACCACATTAGAGTACCCCTTACATCAAAGGCTCTCCTTACATCAGGGTCCCCATCAGAGTCTTGCCTTACAACAGAGTCCCCATCTTAGTCCCTCCTTACATCAGGGTCTTTATCTGTGTTCCCCTTACATCAGAGTCCCTGCTTACATCAGGGTTCTCATCTGAATCTCCCTTTACATCTGGTTTCCCATCTGTGTCCTCCCCCCCCCACATCAGGTTCCCCATCAGAGTACCTCCTTACATCAGAGTCACTCTTTACGTCAGGGTCCTCATCAGAGTCTCGCCTTACATCAGGGTCCCCATCTTAGTCCCCCCTTACATCAGGGTCTTCATCTGAGTACCCCTTACATAAGAGTTCCTCCTTACATCAGGGTTCTCATCTGAGCCCCCATTACATCAGGTTTTCCATCTGAGTTCCCCCCCTACATCAGGTTCCCCATCAGAGTACCCCTAACAGAGTCCCTCCTTACATCAGAGTCACTCTTTACGTCAGGGTCCTCATCAGAGTCTCACTTTACATAAGGGTCCCCATCTGATTCCCCCCATATATCAGGGCCCAGGGGCGGACTGACAACTCATGGGGCCCCCTGGCAATAGGGAATCATGAGGCCCCTGTGTCCTTGCCCAAACTAAAAAAAGCCTATGAAAAAGGTACCAGGGGCATCTCATGGGTCCCCCTACTGACCCCAGGCCCTCAATAGGGGATCATGGGGCCCCTGTGTCCTTGCCCAAACTCAAAAAAGCCTAAGAAAAAGGTACCAGGGGCATCTCATGGGTCCCCCTACTGACCCCAGGCCCTCAATAGGGGATCATGGGGCCCCTGTGTCCTTGCCCAAACTCAAAAAAGCCTATGAAAAAGGTACCAGGGGCATCTCATGGGGCCCCCTACTGACCCCGGGCCCTCGGGCAGTGCCAGAGTTTCCAAATGGTCAGTCCGCCCCTGTCAGGGCCCCTATCAGAGTCTTGCCTTACATTAAGGTCCCCATCTGAATCTAGCTGTACATCAGGATCCCCATCTGAGTCCCCCCTTACATCAGGGTTCCCATCTGAGTCCATCCCTACAACAGGGTCTGCATCAGAGTCCCCCTTTGCCGGTATAAGGCTTATAATGAGGCTGTATCATCAAGGAGTCGGGAGGCTAGGGCCAGATAAAATCTTGCAGTGGGCCGGATATGGCCCCAGGGTCCATCGTTTGGAGACCCCTGCTTTATATGCATTTGTTTCATCAGCTGTATGACAGCATAACTTTCAAAAACAAAAAAATTACAACTTACTTTTTAAACACTGAGCGGTATAAATATTGCACAGTTTTATGGAGATAAATATAGATATAATAGACATAATTTTACAGGCTGACACTGAACAGCTTGCTAACGGATGCATTATGCTCCTCTGCTGATGTAATAGTAATGAGAATATACCCGATGGCACTGGGAACATGTTGTGAGAGCAGATCGCACTGGGAACAATGACATTACAGTGCTTGTGTTGTCTAAGATGCGAAAAGACTGAATAAAGTTTACATATACAAACTGGGATCGCTCGAGGTAAGGACTGTGTTCACGTGGATGCTGGATGATCCATGTTACTTGGCCATCATTCCCCATGCGTCTGCTTTCTAGCAACAATGTTGCCACAATTAGCCATCCACCAATGTACAGTTACTAATTTCTCTGCTGCTGCTCAATGCTGGCATAGTCACGTTATTATTACAAGGCGTCCCTAGACTGATAATCTACATCTCAGGCTCCCAATGTATCCTTTGTTTTTTTACGCACAGACGGTAAGTGCAAACCCACATGGAAGAAATATATATTTGAAATAATTTTTTAAATATTCTTCCCAAACATATTGACATATATTTGAACTGCTACAATTTTGGCCATATTCAATATATTTCAAAACATATTTCAATAAATATATATATGTATATATATATATATACACACACTGTATGTAGAAATGTGCTTTTACTACAAAATATATGGAAATATTTTTTAAAATACATTTCAAATATACTGTATGTCTTGAAAAATACATATCTACTTTTTTTGAATGCATTTACAAGTATACATAAAAAAAATTATGTAAAAATAACTTTTTTATATGTTAAAAAAAATCTGAAGACTATATTTTAAAAAAATTGATTTTTAAAAATATTTATTTTTTTAAATCTATTCTTCAGATTTTTTTTAGCATACAAGAAAGTAATTTTTATATATATTTTTACATATAATTGTAAATACATTCCAAAAAGGTAGATGCGTATTTTTAAAGACAGTACAATATATTTGAAATGTATTTTTAAAATATACATTTTTTTTTTCATATATTTTGTAATAAAAACGCATTTCAACATACAATGTATATATGTGTATATATATATATATATATATATATATATATATATATGTATGTATTATTGCAATATATTTTGAAATATATTGAATATGGCCAAAATTGTATATATATGTGTGTGTGTGTGTATACATATATTTATATATTTATTAAAATATATTGAATACGGCCAAAATTGTAGCATTTCAAATATATGTCAATATATTTGGGAAGAATATTTTTTAAAATATATTTCAAATATATTTTTCTTCCATATGGGAAGGCACGAGGATTTGCATCACTGGGTCATCGTAAACCCAGAATTCCAGCCCAAGAAGCAGATATTGACTAGGCGTGCACGCTGTAAATTTTCATTTTGCTTCAGATGCATTCGTTCACTGAAGAATTTCATTTTGTCATATTCACGATGTTTCGCCGTTTGTTTTGCTATTCATTTCGTATATTCATTGGTCCAGGTAGATTAAAAAAATTTAGCAGTTTTTCCAGAAGATTGCAAATATTTGATATATTACCGAATTGGACAGATGAGAATCCAAAGGATTTTCGGATGCTAGTCCAACCCGCCAAGAGAAATGGCATGAGATGATTGGACAATATTGACTGGCGTCATGTGCTTCTGAAATAACAAATGGAACTTAATGTGTATATATATATATATATATATATATATATATATATATATATATATGTATGTATTGCAATATATTTTGAAATATATTGAATATGGCCAAAATTGTATATATATGTGTGTGTGTGTGTGTATACATATATTTATATATTTATTAAAATATATTGAATACGGCCAAAATTGTAGCATTTCAAATATATGTCAATATATTTGGGAAGAATATTTTTAAAATATATTTCAAATATATTTTTCTTCCATATGGGAAGGCACGAGGATTTGCATCACTGGGTCATCGTAAACCCAGAATCCCAGCCCAAGAAGCAGATATTGACTAGGCGTGCACGCTGTAAATTTTCATTTTGCTTCAGATGCATTCGTTCACTGAAGAATTTCATTTTGTCATATTCACGATGTTTCGCCGTTTGTTTTGCTATTCATTTCGTATATTCATTGGTCCAGGTAGATTAAAAAAATTTAGCAGTTTTTCCAGAAGATTGCAAATATTTGATATATTACCGAATTGGACAGATGAGAATCCAAAGGATTTTCAGATGCTAGTCCAACCCGCCAAGAGAAATGGCATGAGATGATTGGACAATATCGACTGGCGTCATGTGCATCTGAAATAACAAATGGAACTTAATTGGGATCCATTCGTTATCTGAATCCGTATTATCGAACAAATTTGAAAATGTAATTCCTTTCCCCTTGGGCCCAAACTACCATTGCATTGTGTGACGTCATCCGAAACACATGAAACAAATGCATTTGTTAATTTACTTATAACTTTTTTTCAGATTCGTTGACATTCTTTACAATGTCCATTCGGAGAACCGTATACATTTGAATCTCCAAAAATTAAATTTTAGTCCGAAAAACAAATCGAAATAAAATCCACATGTGTAATACTTACCTTGGAAGATACCCGAGCAAAGATGGTTCAGGATTCAGATGAACTTTGCAAATCTTGGGGATTCACTGTGAACCAATGGTAGACCCTTAGGCTGCATTCACACTTGAGCGTTTTTTTTTTTTAGCTTGAAGCTCAAAGCTCCATAAAAGCTTAAACTTAAATTACATTTTTATC